AGAATTGGGTAGGATACTATTGTTTGCAATAGAAAGCCTTGTCAAATTAGATGTTTATTTTAATATAGTCACATTTTGTTATAAAATATTTGAGATCCTATTTTTGTCAGTGGACAGCTGAGCAATTCAAATAGGCCAATGACATTTGCAGAAATAAGAGGTTGGGCAATTAGAGCCCCCCCCCCCATTATTTTTTTCTCAAATAATTGCAACCAGCTGCACATTTTTCAAATTAACATAAATTAATAATCTGCGCATATCATCTTGAAATATATCCAAGAAAGCTGAAGGAAGTTCTGTGGAATTTAATAAATCTTTCTCTGAGATGTAGACTACACTCTGAGAATTTTATGAATTTTCATTGTCTTGAAACAGTAGGATTCCTCATTACCTTTCTTCTTTTACTTGCATTATTCCCTGAATTAGAAATGTATTTATATAATTGAAATATTTATAGTCACCCATCTTACACTGAAAGCAAGATCTCCCAATAAAACTAATATGTTAAATATCCAGCACCAAAGTTAAGCTTTCACATGTAAAGTTCCCCATTAAATCCTCTTATCTACCTAAGCCTATCTCAGCATTTGAACCAGGTCTTAACTGCTTTTTGGAAGGATGGAGGCCTGCCTGCTGAACTTCAAGGGGAAGGGGGTCTATAGAGCAGGGCTGCCATGCAAAAGAATTTACAAGATCTCATAAAATAGCAATGTTTAAGGGAAGGCACTAGGAGCTTGCTACCTTATCTGATAACATAGAATTGTTAGATATCCTTAGGGAGAAGCAATCCTACAGATAATCTGACCACATACACTTTAAAGATAATAACCAGCATCCAGAGGGAAACAGGGAGCCAATGAAACATATGCAGTAGAGGTGTTACATAAGTAAACATCACTATCCATGCCCCCACATTATGGACCAGTTGTAGAAGCTCATTGCAGTAATCCAAATAGGAACTGATTAAGACATGGGTGATCATAACAAAGGCTTCCTGTTCCAGGAAAGGGCACAAATGGCATGCCAGACAAATCTGAGGGAAACTCTCCCTCCTCCCAGCTATGGCTGTTGCTTCAGTAAATGCCATCAGAGTTGCCAAACTGCACAGTTCAGGAGAATGCCACCTCATCCAGATGAAATATCACTGGGTCTTGGTGCTCCAAAACACAGAGTGATTCTGTCTTGCCATGAGATGAGTTGAAGCCAGTTTATTCCCATCCAGTGCCTTGAACCTTCAGGCCCTTGAACAGCATTCATGATTCAGCTGGATAATTTTAAATGCACCACCAGTTTGATGATATGCTTATGTTTTCCTGAGTTTACCATTAATATCCATTAATAGCCTAAATAAAAGTCTAAATAAAAATTACATTCACTCTAGAGAGAAGTAGAAATATGCAGAGACAAATGAAAATGAAAATTATAGATGCCTATTTCTATTTCTCTCTAAAGTAAATGTAATTTTTATTTAGACTTTTATTTAGGATATTAATGGATATTAACGGTAAACTCAGGAGAACATAAGCATACCATCAAACTGGTGGTGCATTTAAAATTGTCCAGCTGAATCATGAATGCTGTTCAAGGGCCTGAAGGTTCAAGGCACTGGATGGGAAGAAACTGGCTTCAACTCAATTCATGGCAAGACAGAATCACTGTGTTTTGGAGCACCAAGACCCAGTGATATTTTTAAGGCAGTTGCCTTATACATTAATGGACTGGTATTGAACATGTGGTTTAACTGCAAAATATATTGTGAGTGTCTAATATTTATATAAAATTAATATTTAAGTTTTATCAAGTGAAATGTAGCTTGCAAATGTTGCAAGAGACATATAACACTATTAAGTCAAATAAGACAGCATCCTATTTTTTCCAGAGACTGCCTCTGGCTTTTTCACGTCTAGAAAATGAGTACAAAACAGAGTCAGCAGGGTATTTGTTCTTTGTAAAGAAGTCCCCCAGAGCATGTTGAAGAGATATGGCAAGTATTTATTTTCTAAATGGCTACTTATCAGGCTATGGTTTTCAGCAGAGACTGAGAAGAGTTGATTTTGCTTCTTTTGGGTGACATTTTTCCTGTAATTTTAATGGAACTGCACTGCTGGCATTTATGAACCTTATCATTTCCACATGCAGTTGGACTATGAATTCTCTACCCTGTAGTTAGAAGAGACCATATTGTATTGTAAACATATCCTGGAATGTACAAACTATTTGTAGGACTAAAATAAATTTCTGAACAAGTGTGTGAGGATGTAGTTTAGCAGGAGAAACGTAAGTTGAACATGGTATCTAATTCTGAATAAACTTATTACCTGTTGTTAGACGATTACATGTACTCAGGGTGGGGTTCTATCAGTTCTATCTGGTTCTATAGAATCCCTTGTTAACTTTCTAAGCAGTTCGGAGAACCAGTAATTAGAAGCAATCTCCCTTTGTTTTGTTTTTTTCACCCTTATTACATTCTTGGCAGACAGCCTAGACTTCCTGTCTCCGGAGCTTTGGGGGTTTGGCTTTCTTAAAGGGGAAGGGTTATTTTAAGATTTTTACACTGCTGTTGGGAGGAAATACTGTAGTTCCCTGGACAATCAGCACTTTGAAGAAATAATTGAATAATGAAACAAAGCTTTAGTGACAGGGAACCAAGATGAGTGACATTCAGCAGGGCTTCTTGGCTAGCGAGAAAGATTGACATTCAAACATGAGTGTTCATACCCTTTCTGAGTTTTGGTCTAAAACTGGTTTTGGGGGAAGGTTAACTCTGTGCTTGGTGATGTTTAATCTTGTGTTTATTGATGGGATAGTTTTCCCTATTCAGCTTCAACAAGCAACAGCTACTATTGTGATTTAAATATCTGTATTGTGTTTGAATTTTTTCTTGCCTCATGGTTTCTTCTTCTATCTGGGGAGGGGGTCTGCCTTCACTGCTTTAGTACTATCTAGCACTGTACTTCCAAGAGGCAGGATGCAAGCTTGGCACTGATTTTTTTACTGCCTTTCTGGGGGAGGTCATGTGATCTTTCCTTAAATCGGGATGAATTCCTTAGGATATCTTGTGAGGTGAGCGAGACCAGCTGGTATCTTTAAGTGGTGCAAATGGATCTAAGGATTGCTTTTCCTCGGTGTGCTTTTTCTGGAGAGCTTAAATGACCTCTCTGCTGAAGGGTTGCACTTTATGAGCAAGAGTTGGCTGCTTGATAGTTATCACTGCATTTTAACTATTTTCTCATTCCTCAAGGTACTCTGGCACCCTGCTTGATTTGTAATTCCGGCTTGCAGGTATTTTTAATCTAATGATTAGTATTTAGGGCAGCTTTTTGCAAGCAAAGAAGCTTTTTGTATTTTTGTACAGGTAATCCTTGACTTACAACAGTTCATTTAGTGACCATTCAAAGTTACAATGGTACTGAAAAAAGTGACTAATGACCATTTTTCACACTTATGACCGTTGCAGCATCCCCACTGTCATGAGAGGACAGGTGAAGAGAAGCACCCCTTGACATGAGTGATGTCAAGCTGGCCACACCCACCCAGTCACATGACCACCAAGCCATACCCACCAACTAAGCCATGACCACAGAACCGGTTGTTAAAAAAAACTGAATCCCACCCCTGATGTACTCCCTGACTTACATCCATAACAGGACCTAGAAAATTCAATGTTTAAGTAGAGTAGTTGTTAAGTGAGGCATCACATGACTGCACTCAATTTTACATCCTTTTTTGTTGCAATCATTAAGTAAGACAATATGTGAACATGACTTGCGGTTTCCGTGGTAGCTTTCCTATTAACTATGCTTGATAGAGACTGGCTGATAAGTTCACAAATGTTGATTCCAGATGCTGTTGACTATAGTAAAACACATGACAATTGCCAAACACCCAAATCACAATCATGTCATTTCAGGGACACGACAAAGATTGTAAGAATAAACATCAGTTGTAAGTGACTTTTTTTCAGCCCCATCATAACTTTGAGCAGTTGCTAATTGAACAGTTGTAAGTCAAAGAATAACTATGTGTTTGTAAAATGAAAGATGCCAGAAAGCAAAGAGTTCTTGTTTGACCTGTCCAATATTTTTATCCAGACTTTCAAACAAACCATAGCTCTTAGCCATGGTGCCAGAGAGGCACTATGCATATGTCACAATTATTATTTTTTCTCTGTTGCTTATTTTTCCTTTGCTGGGTTTGGAATTCCTATAATTCTTTTTCTTCTTATTAATTTAATGTTCCTAAACTCATGTTATTAACTGATTGGGGGATTATTTAATATTATTCTGTTTACTTTTTACTTTAATAACAACAAAAAACCAGCACAACAGAAAACATATTATAGAATCATTCTTTCAAAATAACAAAGTCAACCAAATAAATGAATTGGGGTAAGTTTGATAACATAAATCTGTATATATTAATAATTGTGCACCATAGTATTTAAAGATGCATGTTGATTTCTGTCCATAAAGTTACACCATTCTATGCTTTTTCAGTATTGACACTTTTGAATTACTTTGTTATACTTTTCTCTTTTTTATAGCAAATATCCTATATTTTTTATTGAAGGGCTTAGAATAAATGGGAAATACACTATGAAATGCAATTGGAATTAGGCTGCTTTGGTCTTCGGCTAGATTCACTATTTATTTATTTAATTAGATAGTGTTTTTCTTATTTATTTAATTAGATAGTGTTGGGTATAGAAAGTTTTTGTTGCATAATACAGTTTATACATGGATGGGAAATCAATTGACCAGTCAGTCAACAAGTTGGATTTTTGTGTGAAGGAGTATCAAGTATGGAATGGAAAGTTTCAGTATAGCACATAGATTAACTTTCTAAAAGCTACTTCAGCCCTAAAAAGTCTTAATACAACTTGCATAAAACCATGCAAATGGTTGCTTCCCCTTTCTTTCTTTATTTGTGATTCTTATCCTATATCAAATATTTCTTTGCTAATTATTATTCTGAATGCATATTTCACTTCTATATTTCAGGTTGCGCCCATCATTAAAGAAAGAATGATGAAAAAGGGTAGCATGATGCTGGGTTATCAACCTCATCGTGGAAAAGTTAATTTCTTCCGCCAGGTCATCATTAGCCCCCAGGTGATCCATGAAGACATGGACTTCCTACTTGATGAGATTGATTCGCTTGGGAAAGACTTGTAGCTGATGCCCCCAAACACTAGGAGAAGCTTCTGTGTGTGGAGTTTATAGACTAAATTAGTTAATGACACAATATTATTAGACTTTATGATCCATATAAAAATGCTCAGAGGTGTGTAGACTTTTTATACCAAGCATATGTTTAACATTTAAATTATAAAGGGAATTTTATAATGATGGAGTGATATATAAATCACAACCCTTTAGAAAAATAAAGTGTTACATGAACAATAGGTAGGATATGTCACCTTCATATTTCCTGAATACATTCATGTTTTTGAATAGAGATTCAAATAGATCCATATTGTAAAATATCACCTAACTTTGGACAGTTAATTTCATGTAGCAGCCTTTTCCATTGATAGATTGGGATTGCCACTTTTCTTATTCCAAACAGTATGACTAAAAGCTGGGATGGCTGAGAATTATCCTCCAACTGGAAAACATGGGTGAGGTAAACTGATTTGTGATGTCTGAATCTGTTTTAAACACTAAAATATCAGCAGGCATTTTAGAAATGTATTCAAGTTTTAAAAAGATTGTGCATATGTTCACATATAGATTTTAGTGTTTTTTTAAATGTAGTATAGCTATTTAAAGTAAGGATTTTGGCACTTATTTAGTATCACTTATGTGATAGTATAAAAACCATCAGCATTCATCTACCTAACTATAAACTTGTTAAAGAATATACTAAAACAATTATGCAATCATTTGACATATGCTGTAATATTCAAATACATTAGTTAAATGGTATTGTGAAGATGGAAAGGCCTATAATATTTCCCACTATTTATTTGTGTATTGCACTACATATTAACAAAACTGATCTTATTTTTTATTGATTCATATAGGGATTCTATTATATTTGCTAATTTAAATGTTGACATTACATTTGAAGCATGATATAATATTTAATTTAGTAAAGCCCCATGTTGTTTCTTCCTGCTTTTATGGTTACAAAATTCTCTAGATTCAGTGCTGTAAGAGATATGCCTTGTAGCAGCATATTTCAGTTTAGCAAGTACACAATTCTTACGTTTTTAGATGATTGATATAAATGCTTTATAATAAATACTTTATCAAAAAGTCCCTGATTATTCCTCCTTCTATAACACTACCAACAAAATGTATGAACAGATTATTGTAATCACAAGATGTTACAATAACACACAAACCAACTAAAGCCATCCAATATATAATACTGTGTTTCCTGCAAATAAGCCGTACCCAAAAATAAACCCTAATCTGATTTTTTTAAAGCCCTATCCCCAAAATAAGCCCTAGTAAAGATCATCATTAGCGCAGGGGAGATCATGGCCAGACCAGGAGTCAGTGAGCATGCAGGGGTCGACAGTGTCTGGCAGCAACCATGGGCAAGCAGAAAAATGGGGTGGAGTGGGCTAATACAGCAGATGTGTAAATCTCCCAAATACAGTTAGACCAAAGGGCAGAAAATAAAACATTGCAAAAAAAATTATAAGTAAAAGGAGGGTATTCTATCTTACTTCTGGGTATACTGGTTCAGAAGCCCACATAAATTAAAGGCCTGATGAAGCTGTAACAACCCTCCTCCCCAGATGAGGAAGCAGTGATGAAGCTAGAGACAAAACTTGTCTTCCCCGCCCTCCAGGCTAGAAACAGCCAATGACCACCCACCAATCACATGTTCTCTCAAACATGGGCAGCAATCCTGGCTCTTACCACAGTTGCTCCTTCTCTTCCCCAGTTACCTCATGGAGGCTTAGCCCCTTCCCTTCCCTTCCTGACAGCCTGACTCCAGTGTCCAGGCTTTGGCGCCAAGCATTGCTTGTGCATGGGAGGGGCACAAAGCATGACTCTGTAGTGGTGGAATCAGCAATGTGCGAAAAGTGCCACCCTGAGCTCAGCCTGGATGCAACTTGGGCCCTTAATCACATGATTGGCTGAACACATCAGAATCACCTTCCCCTTGTGCCTCTGCCCAGCTGCTGGGTCTGCTGCACCTTCTGCTGCTAGTCTTATGGGGGCTCTTTGCCCTCCCAGCTGAGTTGCTCTCAGTCACTCTGCTTGGCTGGTCCTGCCTGGGAGTTGGCCCAGATCTACAACCTCTGGAGCACCTGTCCCCACCACTAGCCTACCAGAGTCCTTCACCAGTGGGCACTAGTAGAGCCATACTGCTCATACTGCCTCACTTTACTTATACAAGTGCAGGTTCACACATTCACCTGCCACTTGCATAGCCTGGTTCCAATGGGCCGTGGCTCAGCACAGCTGTAGACTGGGGGTTGGGGGACCCTGATCTACAATACATAATTTAAGGACTATAATAGCTACTATGTCCTACTATGTAGGACAGATAGGCAGAAGATTAGCAGAGAACATCTGTGAATACTAACTTGCAATGAGAAGATACAATGAAATCAAACAACACATAAACAGACTCAATTATAGTTTCATCTGGGACCAAGCTAAATCCAAAAATACTATGGAATTCCTGGAAGCTTGGCATTCACATATATCAGCCATTCAAAGATACATAGAGAGAAACAACATTTACACATCGTTCTTTAGTGCAGCCATGCTAGTTTCTTTTGAGGTATCTTATTTTTCTTCTTTGGAATTGTCGGAATTGTGCTAGACTGGGCTTTTATAATCTCACTTTTCAAAGTTTCCCAAACTTCTTGAGTTCCCTTGAACTTTCTTATCCATGGAATCCTTCCCAAGCTGTCCTAAGTTTATTGAAATCAGTTATCTTGCAGCCCAAGACTCTAATGTGATTTTGTTCTATTGCTTGTATTTGCATAATGTCGAATTCCAGTAGCAATACTACTTCACAGCCCTCTCTAACTAGTTTACAGCATCAGCATATTGCCCCCAATAATATAAGTCCTCATTCTGCCTACCTTGGAAGGATGGAAGGCTGAGTTAAAATTGAGCTTGATGAGATTTGAACTGCCATATTGCAGTCAGCTCATAGTCAGCAGAAGTATCCTGCAGTATTGCATTCTAACCACTTCAACACTACAGTGTACATGCCCCCCCCCCAAGGTTCCTGTAACTTCAGTGTTTTCAATGCCTTCTCATTTTATCTCTGTTAGAAAGAATTAAATCCAGTATGATTGACTCCCTTTATCTTTTGAGAGACAAAGCTGGAATCTGTTGATCTTCCACTAGGTGTAGCAGTTCTCTCCCCATTGATGTCAGGGTAGTTAAAGTCCCTTATTACTAGTGCTTCCTACATACTGTGGTAATTGACTAGCAAAAAGTTCATTTATTTCTTCTGTTTGGTTGGGTGGCCTGTACCATATACCTATGGCAATGTTATTTTTTCCCTTTTATAATAATCCAAAGCCTTTAAGCTGGTTTTCATAATTGTTCTGCTGAATTTCTGTGGAGCTATAGTTATTTCTTATATATCAATGCTGGCGAACCTATGGCATGTGTGCCAGAAGTGGCACTCAGAACCATCTCTCTGGAGACGTGGAGCTGTCGCCTGTTGCTCTTCCTGATTCTGGTGCGTACATGTGTGGCATACATGTTTTCAGGTTTCTGGCATGCATGCACGTGCAAAGATCAGTTGGCTGATGCGCATGCCAGAACCTGGAAGAGCAACGGGCGATGCCCAAAGACACAGAGAGGGGATCCCAACAGTTCCTTCCAAGGGGAGCAAAGCTGTCCCCTCCCAAATGGGCTTTTTGCACGGCCCTAGGCTTCCAGCTCACAGCACTGACATGCATCCACAGTCCACAGCACCTGGCCGGCTTGGATGTTACAGAAGAACAGTGGCGGCGGCAGCAGCAAGGGGAAGGAGCAACTGGCCAACCCCCACAGCCACTTTCCCACCAGCAAGTCAGGCTCTTGGCAGCGTCTCCATGGGTGGGGAGAAGTGTTTTCCTCTGGCCCTCCTGGGGCAGCTCACCTCCCCAATGGCAACTCATCCACTTCCTCCTCAAGCATCCCAGCTGTAAGCAGCAGTGCAGGGGGCTGGCAGCGGTTCTCATGGTGCCAATTCTGGCCAGGATGCTGGAAGGGGAGCCACTGTTGGGGAGATGAGCTGCCCCAGGAGGACTGGAGGAGAGCACAGCTCTCATGCATGGAGATGCCGCTGAGGGCCCAGCTCGCCACTATGGGAGAGTCTGCAGGGGCTAGCCAATCACTCCTGCCCATCACCCCACTCTTCTGGGGTGGCGGAGCTGCACAGGAACTGAGTCCATGTGGGAGGAACAGCTATCTAGAGCTGGGGCAAGAGGCGCACTGGCTGGGAAGTAGTCACGCTCCCTTGGCAGAAGTGGCGGGGGGCTTCCATGGCCGGCCATGGGATTGGAATCGGCTGGCTGCAGGAATCAACACTGTCCATAGCCCTGGTGCACTGCTCGCTTACATGAGCCAGCCTTACTGTTTGGAGGCTGAATGGAGTGGGAAAGCATTGTGGAGCCAGGCCATTCACAGCTGCCTCCAGCCAGCCAGAGTTTGCTGCGCTGGGACAGGAATGAGACTGCTCCACCTTGGGTGGGGAGGATGAGGAGGAGAAGAACAGCGAGGGTTTGCCCCAGCTGGCGAGGCAGGGTGCAGGTCAGATGGTGCTGGCTGGCTGGTTGGAGAGTGGGCAGTCATTAGGTAGCTGCTGCTGCTGCTTCAGTGGGGAAGACGAAGAGAAAAACAGCTCCTGCCCCTTTCCTCCCCTGCCATTGCCAGTAGCTTAAATGCTCCAACTAAAGCAGAGATTGTACAGTCGCTCTCCCATACAAACACACACACAGAGTTTGGGAAAAAACCCTCCCCCCTCTGTGTTTGTGTGTGTGTGTGTGTGTTTATGTGTGTGCATGCATGCACAACGGCAGTTGCACGCTTCAGTGCCTGGCTGGAAGGGTGCTCAGATAAGCCAATAGGAGGTGGGGGGGGGGACGACTCCACCCCTCCCTGCCTTGCTTCATACTTCCCCCCCCCCCCAACCGCCTCACTGCTTAGGCAGCTCCTGTTACCTGCACCGCTGCCAGAGGCTTGGCTGAAAATCACTCTCTCCTCCCAACACACACACAGAGTTTGGAGAGCCCCCCTCCTCTCTCTGTCTCATTCCATTTGCATGCAAGCTCTATGGAACAACATGGTCTCATTAAGTACAAAGTAGTTTAGTGGGGGCAGCAGGAGACTGGCAAACACTTTTTGCAATGAGAATGAAAGTTTCTGGCAGGTTTTTCGATGGCTGTCAAAGTGGTGCCTGTCCTATTGAGAGGAATTGCAGAAGAACAGTGGGAGGGCAGCAGTGGCAGTGCTGCTGAAGTGAAAGGCAGAAGCTAGGAGGCCATGCTCTTCATGGGGAGTGCCGCTGACTCCTGTGCTGGTGGAAGAGGAGAAAGAAGAGGCAACACTGTTGGCTGCAGCCATGGAAGCCAAGGCAGCGGATTCGCTGTCCTGGCCCTCTCCATCAGGCGCTTCTGCTGCCAGGGAATTCATTGGCAGCAGAAGCTCCTTATCCTTATGTGCCTGTTTAAGGAGGAATATCTGTCCAGCACCGGAGTAATAGGTGTGCCAGCTAGGAAACGGTCATGTTCCCTTGGCAGAAGTGGTGGGATGGGGGGGCACTTCATTGACACTTTTGTGGTTTCCGGTGCACGCATGTACACTGGCTAGCTGATCTGCACATGCGTGCCAGAACCTGGAAGACCAGATAGCCAGCGCGCATGTGCACGCTGAAAACTGACTACTTTTCTGGTTTCTGGCACACAGGCTTGTGCACATGTACGCATGCTCCTGTTTCAACACTTGGTGCTAAAAAGGTTTGCCAGCAGTGTTACATATAGTGCAACTCAATCTCTTTTATTAGGTCTGTTTCTTTTAAACAGTTTAAATCATAACAAATCTGCAAGGTTGATTAATCTCAAAGAGTATAATTAACACAATGCAAACAACTACATTCCAGCTATACCATCATGATAGCCATAGGATTGATTTATGGGCTGCATTTCTCAGAAGTGTCTGCTGCTTCCTTCAGTGATAGCCAGCACATAGAAATATCTAGCATACCCCAAAATATAATAGTTCAAAAACAATGACATGTTTACTGTTCTTTTCATTTGAAGATTTTTTTTTGTAAGTTATTTAAGAAATT